CCCCAGCCCAGGTCCTGGCAGGTGCGGCTCCACCCCACACTGGGGAACTGGAATCTCATCTCGCCTGAGACCCAACTGATGGCAGAGCCTTCCTCCTTGTGTCTCACTTTCAGACTAATCTGACACCAAAGCACCCCTTAGCCACTTCTCCTTCAGCAGGTGACTTGTCCTGTTGAACCACAGGTCACCTGTCCCTGGGGCCCAGACTGTTCATTCTCATTAATGGGAAGCCTTGATGTGCCTTTCTGTCCTGTCCCCATGTCCCCTGCTTCCTGTGTCCAGGAACAGTGGAAGCAGAAATGCAGGGGAAGCTATTTGCTGTGTAGGGAGGAGCCCTTCTCCCTAAAGCTTTTTCTGCCCAGCGGGCCTTCCCACCTGCTACTCTCTGACTGCCGTCCCTTACCCACTCTTGCATCAGCTACTTTAGCTGGAGTATTCAGTAACCTGATTTCAATTCAGCAGATCCCTGCTGAGCAGTTATTCTGCAAAAGATACAGTCAGCCTGTGACTCGAATCCTCTTTTAATTTCACATTTGCTGCATCAGGCACACATTGTCTATCGTATATGAACAGAAACATTCTTTTTTTTCCCTCTTGTAAATTCCTGGTTGCTGCTGCTGCTGATTTCTTCTTACCCATACCAGGTTTCCTCCATAATGGAGAGGTGAGATTCAGGGTATAAAACAGAGACCCCTGGAGTCTAACTGGGAAAATACACACAGGGAGAAATGAAATGATAGAGACTAACAGCAGTTCATGGCAAAAAAGAAACCCACGGGTTTTCGTGGGCCAACTGCAGCACTTGATGTGGTCAACAAATGGTCAGTAATTGTCTACCCTGTGACAAAAAAGTGTCCCAGAAAATGAAGTACAAAATTGATGATATTTGGCCCTGCTCCTGAGGAGGTCACAATCACATTGGGGACAATTTTGTATCAGATGACCAAAGTGTCTTCTGACACCTGGAGTCGGGTGAGAGAAGACACTCGGGCATCCACGTCAGTCTGGGGCAAGCCCAGGAAAGGTTTTACCAAAGAGGGGATAGTTGGGTGGGATCTTGAAGTATGAATAGGAGTTTGGAGAGTAGGTAAGGAAGAATGGAGATTCCTAGGAAGAGGGAGTGGCATGGATAAAGAATCAGTCCTAGACATGAGAAAAACAAGGCCTGTTCAGAGATTAACAAGGCTTCCACTCTTCCTGGAGGAGAGGGGAAGTAAGTAGTGGCAAGAGGCACAATCTGGAAGCGGGGCTGGTGTGCCAGGGATGTGGAAGTGTGTGGAGGGAGAAGACAGCTAAGCCAGGAACCTTGCAAACAGCAACCTCGCAAAGGTTGGAGGTGAAGTGGGAGTTGGGGCGGGAGTGGTGGGCAGAAAGAATCATTTCCAGCGAAGGAAGAGAACTTGGGGCAGGGGGTGAGTTGCAGGGCGAGCCACGGAAAATCTGAGGCCCTGGAGGGACAATCAAGTTTGGTCCCAGACATCAGTATTGCATGGGGCAGCTTGAGAGCCGGGCCCCTTGATTTCTCTGTTGTTCATATACTTTTTTGTTGTTGTTATTGCTCATATATATCTTTTAAGTCCTAAATTTCCCCAAAACTGTCCATTTAGCGGGTCTGTGGCAAGTCATGTTGACAGGAATGAAGTCTCTGCACAAAGTAGGTGGTGAATAATTGTAGGCTCGTGATCATTTGCTGCTACCATTCCCATCCCCACTGGCATCTTAGTTTTATTTCCTCACTCTCCCACAGACGGGCAGGGTTTTGAAATTGTAAATTGGATCTTGGCACATTTCTGCTTAAAAATCCTTCCCGAGAAAGGCAGAACCGATGCGGGGCTCCACGTGGCCTGGCCCCACCTTCCTCCTGGCCTTCTAGGCCTGGCAACCCTGGCTTCCTCCTAAGTCTGGAGGAAGTCAGACTCCCCACAGAGCCTCAGGTGCACACCCCTCCTCCCTGCCGCATCTCTCTGATTTCTGCCTATCTTCAGTTCCCACCTCAATGTCCCTTCCTCCGGGAAGCCTTCCAGGGAGCCTCCTCCTACCCTGCCCTTCATAGCACTTGAGTCTTCCCACTTTCCATAGGAAATTATCACACTCGTAAGCAAGTGTTCAGGTAACTTTATGGATATTTTCATGTCCCCCTGCCTGTCCTGCCACCACTGAGTCCCCCATAGATCTGTGTTGATGCATATTTGACCACCCAACAGCTCAGCCGGCCCCATTTTCTCCTCTGCCTCCTGGCTGCCCTCTTTGCCATCATCCATGTCCGCCTGGCTCCCAAAGTTCTGCTAATGCTCCTGCCTCCTCTGCGAGCCTCCCTGAATGCTTCTAGCCCCTGGGGTATTTACTAGACTGCACAGATCGCTCTGCATCCTTGTTAGGTTGCGTGCATCTTTTTAGGGCTTTGGAGGCTTAGAAATCTTAGTCTGGCAAAATGAAGCAAAATACTTTCCTGGCTCCTGGAAATTCCCTCACTGGTACAGTCAGTGCAGTTACAGCACCTAACCCTAGATCCTTTTGGTCACACACACGAGGCCCTGTGCTCAGAAGGGCCCCACCATGGATTTAATGCTCTGCTGTTGCCGTCTTGAAATTCTTGATAGCATTTGAATAAGGGCCCCATGTTTTCAACACACCCTGGGCCGCGCATTATGTGTAGCTGCTCCCATACCTGCCTCGAGGGGCGTTGTGAGGAGCCATAGGAGGATGTGTGACACCTGCATTCCCAGGGCTGGCACCTGGTGATGCTCTCAGCAGGGTCACCTGTCATCATTTCAGTTCTGCTCAACCACAACCACAGTCGATAATTCACTCTTCTGTTTGCTCAGCTTCATTGACTAAGTGCTGTGGTCAGAGACATTGATGAACTGCTGAAAACCCTTCTACAGCTGCTCCTCGCCCTCGCAGGGTTCCCAGGCCTGGCCAGCCTTCAGATTCACCGCTGGAGCTTGTTCAAAGTAGAGTTCTGGGCTGCACCCAGCCAGGCCTACGGGATCGGACTCCCCAGGGTCAGGGCCTGTGAGTCCGTGTCGTAGCAAGTTCCCAGGTGACTGACGCCTTCATTTATGCCATGACGGGAGTTTAGGAACCTCCATCCTAGGAGTTTGAACCCAAGCCTCTTGCAATGGTGTTTGGCGCCCTTTCCATCTGGCCCTGGCTGCATTTCTAGCTCTGCTTCTGACGTGTGTCCTAACCCTATGGGGAAGTGCTGGCTCTCTCGGACTCCCCGGTGGGTGCCTTTCACTCCCATAACACCCTGAGGGGTCCTGAAGCCCCATTCCCTTTAGCAGAATATATTGTTCCTTCTTTTCATGTTTACCAGCACTCAGTTTTTCTTGTTCCCCGAGCACATGTCACGTTGCACTGTGATTTGTTTCTGCACCTTTATTCCCTGCAGCCTGAGCTGAGGGAGCTCACCTCTGTACCCTTAGTTAGCAGCAGTAACAAAGAATATTCAGGTTCCCTCCATGCAAGCCAGTGCACCCAGTGGACACGTTTACTGTGCATGTGTCTGCTGGTTCCCCGAAGCCCCGAGCATACAGTTGGTGCTTGGTTCAGCCTGGCTGGGCCATGGCTGAGTGTCCGCCATGAGCTCTCACTATGCGACTGGCAGACCCAATGCCTTCACAGCCCCTGGTGGTCACCTTGCCCCTGGAAGGGTCGTTCTGCTTCCAGCTCAATCCTGGACCTGTGGGAAGATCCCCTCTCTGGAGAGCCTTTCCTCCCAGGACCCTTTTTTTTTTTTTTGAGACAGAGTTTTGCTCTGTTGCCCAGGCTCGAGTGCAATGGCATGATCTCAGCTCACTGCAACCTCTGCCTCACAGGTTCAAGCGATTCTCCTGCCTCAGCTTCCAGAGTAGCTGGGATTAGTAGAGACAAGGTTTCACCATGTTGGCCAGGCTGGTGTCAAACCCCTCCCAACCTCAGGTGATCTACCCGCCTCGGCCTCCCGGAGTGCTGGGATTACAGGCATGAGCCACCGCGCCCGGCCCTCCCAGGAGTGTCTATGCCCAGCAGTCATTCTAGAAGGTCACACATGTGCTGTGTGAAAAAGGCACCCAGTGATTGACGGCTTACTTTATGTGATAAGCGTTCCCTTCACCAGTCTCTTCCTTTTCGGAAGTGTCGGGTGTGGCCACAGGTTAGGCTCTGAGCTGTTGCAGCACAGCCTCCAGTCATCCCACCAAGAGGTTTTGTTCTTGTTTTTTCCCCCGGACCTGTTGGGTTTTAAATATTTTCCTATTCGTTTAATTTTTCTTTTCAGCATTCACTACAGGCAGCTGGTGACCATGCCAAATGGATTGTTTACTTTTGACTAAATACTCACTTAGGCTGTGTGTTCTTCGTAAGCTTTAATGGCTCACGCCTGAGCCATCAAAGACCGTGCTGTGTCTGTCTGGAAGGTGCTTTCCTGAGCACCTACTGTGTGCGCTGCCTGAGGGGGAACACACAGACACAGCAGTTGAGAGCGATGTGCCATTCTGATTTTCAGAGGTCATTAGTCTCCTGAACTCATATGGCAGTAGTAATTCCCAACACCTTTATTTACAAAGGGCTTCATGTGCAGTGATCCTCAGCAGCCCTGCGGTGTAGGAATGGAAGCATTTGCATGGCTCCTGGAATAAACCAAGGCTGGTGTTCAGCGCCTGGGTGTTACGGTCCCACTGGTGCATTTTGCCCAGTGGGCAGAGATCTGGATCAAACCGCCACCCCACAGAGTGTCTTGGGCCTGCTGTAAGGCTTGGGACACACTTTCTTCCTCTTGGATGTCCTTTCTAGTATGGGGAAAAAAAGGTGGCTGTGATGTCTAGAAACTTTCAAATTCCTTGAGAGGACTTGAGCCCAGTGGAGGAGTCACGCTTGATTGAGAAGGAGGCGCTGGCCAGAGCCACCATCTCTGCCCGCTGCTCTGTGCTGCATTTCAGCTGTTGATGGTGTCAGTGCTTCCTGAGTCTTGCGGAATGCTCCTGTAACCTCCTTTCTCTCCTCCTTCTGTTCCTCAGGCACATCTCTCTAACACTTCCTGCCACCTTCCGAGGCAGGAACAGCACCCGGACGGACTACGAGTACCAGCACTCCAATTTGTATGCCATATCAGGTACGTGGAGCCACTGTGCAGGCCAGCTACGGAGTCTGCGTCCCGGGCACCACCTCCTTCCACACATTCTCTGCCTTCTCATGGGATCTGTCTGCCTTACCTGTCTTTTCTTCCCTGCAAGAGGCCTGTTCCCTGCAGGGACCAGACCTTCCCTTTCCTTTGTGTCACCTCGGAACTTAGAGAAGGGCCAAATACTCAGCATGTTTTGAAACTAATGATGAAAAACAATGTGTGGATTTCACAGACTTGAAGGGAGGTTTCCAGAGAATACTCGCCACATTGTTCACCTGCCAGACCCCGGCAGGCTTCCCACGAGGCCTTGAGAGCAGCGCCAAGCTGAGCCCTGGTCGGCTCACCCTCCCATATCCAAGTCTGTCCTCACCTCTCATTTCTCACAGCCAGGTTTGTGGCCAGCGGGTGCACTGGCGGTCTCGCCTCACACCCCTGGAGCATGAGTCTGTGGTTTCTGAACTCGGCCTTGAAATTGATAGTGTTACCTTGGCGGGAACTTCATCAGTCCTAGTTTTCCTTTTCACCTTCACCCAGGGAGGGGAAAACTTACAAGCCTTATTACAGAATTGAGATTCATTAGGTGCTTGGCAGCACAGGTGACTTGCTAAGAGCCAAGGAAACCCACAAACTCGCCTCCGATTATCCTGGGCCACCAGTCAGGGGTGTTTGTATGTAAGGGGAAAGTGGCAAATCGGTGCCACTTACCAGCACACACCCTTAATGGTGAGTGACATTTTGAACACAGGAACATGGCATTCATTCATGTACCATAATGAATCGGTTATTTAAAAGGTAATCTTTTTTCTAAAAATTGCAACTACAGGTTACTAAATAGATGAAATAGAACAATGGCATAATTCTTGTCAGTATTAGTTTTTCTCGTTATGATCACTCCCTAATAGGTTTGGAAGTATAAGCAAAAGCCAGTTGTTCCATTTCTGGGTGACATTCCTGCTGGGAAGGGGAGGAACAGGGATGTTCTTAAGCCCCCGTCCCTGGCTCCACTCCAGGAGCCAGGCTCTCCAAGGGGAGAGCAAACGTGTTTGTCTGAGAACAGCATCTCCAGGGAGAATTTCTTTTGTGCTGTGGCTATTTCAGCAGAGTCGACAAGGAGCATAACAAGTGTGGAAAGATGACCTATTTTGTAGAAAAGCTGAATATTTCCCCAGATGCTTAGTGGCATAGAGGTGCAGAACAGGCCTGTGGAATCCAGCAGGGCGCCCCCATTCAGAATGCACACAAGGGAAGCTCCATCAAAACGGATGACTTTTTTCCTGCAGCTCGCAAATCTTTTTCCAGCCACAGCGTTCGGCTACACCCACTTTACCTGTGTTCTCTGATGGCTTTCCCAGCTGTTGGCGTTTCTGCAGGAAAGAGCCACGGAGTGAAATCTCCTATGGTTTGGCAGGAACACTGCTGTCTGCCTCTGGACCGCTGCTTCCTCGCCCCGCAGCTTTGATGAGGTGTTGTCTGGGTTCATTTCAGCTGTTAGTTTAGCAATACCAAGGTAACAGCCTCAAGACACAGGGGAAGCCATTCAGAAACTTCCTGTTACATTTATGTAAGTGGCAGTCAATTGGATTTTATCTTCCAAACAGAGGTAGTTGAGGCTACAGCCCCCGGCAGCAGGCAGTTTCAGGCCTCCTCAGCGGCTGCAAGCACCAAATTGCTCTGCCAGGGTCTAGGACCGCTTTGTTGTGTTGCTGCCAGAAATACCCTGCAGGACCTGCTGGCTCCGTAAGGCCTGCAGGCTCAGCACTGGGCAACTATGGTGCAACTGGGAAGCCTGCCCGCCCACCCACTGGCAGCCTGCCTGCGAGTCGTTCTGGCTAGGAGGGAGCAGAGACCACCCCCCTCACCCCCATATGAACGGTATTTGGCACCGAGTGGCCTATCTCAGTTTGGTATTGTGAAGTTAGGGTTTCCACTGGTTTCTTCCAAAAACAGTTAAGGCAAAGTGTGCCCCAGACCCTAGCCCTTGCCCAGTACCGATGCCTTGATAGCTGGAGTTCTGCTGATAATGAAATGAATCATCAAACCGTTCTGCCTCTGAACTGGCCCTGGCACAGGTTCACTGCAGACTTCAGGAGCTGAGCCTTTGGTGCAGACTCCTGGCATGCCCTGTGTCCCTCCTGAAGACATTCGATTACTGCTCCCTTAGTGTTCCGTCCCTTCCTAAGAGAAGTAGATTTCAAAACAGTGTAATTAGAAATTTGAAAAGCAGCCCACACTTAACGTGTATGTATGGTTGTTAAAGTATATTAACTTTTAAATGTTCGCTCAGTGGTATACCTGCTAGTAGGTCCCTTTTCCTGTATCTTTCACTAAGACAGTTGCTCCCACCATGCCTGCTAAGGGTGAGACATGGCGCATAGTTGCAAGAGACACCAGTGGAGACGATATGTAGTCCCATCCCTGGCACACAGCAGTGCTCATGATGTGGTCATGGAAGGAAGGAAGAGATGAAGGAAAGCATTTAGCCCCCTGTCTGCCTTGCACAGGAGTACCCTCCCAGACCCCTGGGCCAGGTAGCCATCCTGATTTGCTGCTTGAATGCCTGCGGTGTCTGGGACCACCACCTCCTACCAGCCCACCCATCCCTGTGAGATGCTTCCTCGTTAAGATGGGCTCTGTCTTCCTGTTCTTTCACATCCACCCAGCGACTTGAGATACTGAGCATTCTGCCGGCCAAAATCTGCCAGGTGTTCTACACAGTCCAGTCATATCTCTTTCTTGACCACAGAAGTGGGATGAGGAGCTCTTTCTAACTCAGTCCTGAAATCCTGAGATACTTGTGGCCTGCGCTCTGCTCTCTTGTACCCTAATCCAAACGGCCACGAAGCCAGCATCCATCCTCACACTTGTCCTAGCAGTATCTCCTAGAAAATACAGATGTGCAAAAAGATTTATCCACAAGGATAAGCACTGCCACTTCTCAAAAATAATACTTCAAGACAGGGGCGAGAGGTGGATAGATCTTAAATGCCCCAAACAAAAACGAATGCTTAAATTACAAAACAACCGTACAGTAGCCTTAACTTTTCAGCCATCCAGAAGTGATGACTTAGATTAAAAGATATATATGAATATTGTTAAGTGGAAAGAAAAACAGGTAACAAGTCAGAATGTGTAGTGTGATCTCATTTTAAAAATTACATCTAAGCTGGGAGTGGTGGTCCATGCCTGTAGTCCCAGCTACTCGGGAGACTTAGGAGGGAAAATCCCTTGAGGCCAGGAGTTCGAGGCTGTAATGCGCTATTATGATGGCCTTTGGAAATAGCTGTGCACTCCTGCCTGGGGAACATGGATCTTGTCTCTTAAAAAAATTAATTAATTTTTTTAAATTAACAAAAAATACATCTAAAGGTCTGGAAAGGTCCACACCTAAGTGTTTATAGTGATTTTCTTGGGACTTTCCTCTTTTTTGGCCTCTTTGCAGTTACTCATTTTCCATAATAGCATGTGTTGCTTTTACAGTAAGAAAAAATATAGACCTGATGTGAGCGTGTCATGTTCTTGGTACACCCTGCTGGCCTGCAGGATCACCATTTTCTCCTGAGCGCTCACGAGCCGCCTCTGACTCATAATATGCTTTCAAAGTTTACTGCAGATCATTTCCAGACCACAGATCAATAATTTTCTTATTGTCCCTTTTAGAAAATATGATTTTTTTTTCCCTGTTATCCAGTCCCCTGAAATCACCTGTTCACTCAAGTTCCTCAGAGATCACTGTCTGTAATTCCAGCACCATCCTTTACATCCTGCTGTCCCTCTGGATGTGGACTGGGCAGGCAAGCAGTGGGCTGCTCCAGCCACCTCCCTGCCTTCCTTGCTCTTCACGTTCCCCATCACTGTGTCGCTCTGTAGGGTTTGAAGATGGTTTTCCCTAAAAAGATAAAATGATGGTCGCTTGGCTTGGCTCACTCTGTTATCCATCTGGATTAGGGTTGGCAAACTAAAGCCTATGGCCCAATCCCATCCACAGCCTGTTTTGTATGACCTGCAAGCCAAGGATGGTTTTAATATTTTTAAATAGTTGGACAAAAATAAAAAGAGTAATATTTAGGGACATGTGAAAATTATATGAAAAACTTTAATGTTTGTAAATAAAGTTTTATTGCAACACAGCCATGCCCAGTCCTTGACAAATGGTCCTTAGCTGCTTCACATTCCAATGGCAGAGTTAGGTGTGTGCAGCCAACACCGGATGGCCCACACATCCTAAATATTTACTCTCTGGCCCTTTACAGAAAACATTTGCCAACCCCGGTTAGGGTCATCACTCCTAAGCCATGGGTGCTATGCATCCTCTTTCTTGCTCTAAACAAAATATTTAAAAACAATCTTTTTTGATGTTTCTTACCTTGCTGACTGTAGCTTTCCTGGTGCTGGTCTCACTGGTGTGACCCCTGTAGCTTTGTGCTTTTGGTTTTTTGAGCATGCCTTTAAGATCTTACGTCTTCGGAGAGACCTCTTCCGGGTCATGTGGATTTCTCTAAGTTCTACTCCAGTCCCAACCCTGGGATTTCCTGGTCAGTACTCTTAGTGGCTGTTAGTTTTCTTAAGAACATCTTATCTTTCCTGAAAAGTCTTCTATTTTAGTCCCAAATGGTGCCACCCTACCTTTCTTTTCTTTGAATTTTTTGTATGTTTAGATGTCTGCCCATTCATTCATTTCTCCTTCATCTATTCTAGAAGGATTTAAGGTAGCTCCAGGAATACATATGGCCAAATGGAAACGGAAGTGAGAAAACACAAGTGAATGGGAACAGGATAGAAAGTGGGCGTGGCTGTTTGCAGGGGATATCTAGATTAGGTTCTGAGGCAGAGAGCTGTCCCTTAGGGATAAGAGAGAAACAAGCTAGTTGCTTGGGAAGAATTGAACTATTCTCTTGAGCCCAAAGAGCTGTCCTTCCTCATAAACAGGGTCCCATGGGTCAGCACTGACTCCCACATATGCATTCCTTGGAAAGCTGAATAAAATGAGC